AAACAACACTAAACAATCAATCACTCGTCATTCATTCAAGGTCACTAAGAAGGGGAAGGAGGGAGTCGATGTGAATTAATTTTGTGTAATCTAACAGGAATTAAGTACCAACTCAACGTTAGTTTGTATTGAGTTTCTATTAAGTTCAGACTATGTATGTTCTTCTTTGCTATTATCAAACCCTTTAACCACTCCTTGTATTCCATTTCAATATTCAACTCCTTTTCATTTGATCCATGGTAAGATTTTTTCTTGCAGTTGCCGTTGGATAAAAAAAATTAGAGACCCTAGAGGTGATCTTGTGTTTATGATGTATTTTTAAAAAAATCGATTAAAGGATTATCCTTTAAAATCGTTTTTGTTATGATAAAATCTTTCAATCTAAGATAGTTGAAAACTTCTCTAGGCAAAAGATCAAATCTAGATGAAGCAAATCAAATGACAAAAGTTTCCCATCTGATGCTAAATCGCTTAAAAATGTAATGCTCTTTTCTCACCAACTTGACAAACTAATATCACCTATGTCCAACTCTATGGTTTCTTATGGCGTATTTGACAAAAGAGGATTTCGGAATCCCAAAGCTGTAATTCTATAAAATGGTATAGATATCTCTAGTTATCGGGTTTTGAATAAGTGTAAAGTTGCTTTTTCTACCCTTTGGATCTATGTTTGACCAAAGTAGAAATAAAGGTTCTAATTTTCCTAAAAATTGTTTTTCAAGCTCCAGCCATATCGGTCTGGGGTTGAAAAGTTAATGTGCTATCATATTATTGCTATATAGTGGAAAATTTATTCATACTTACCGTAATTTTCTTTTCCTGGCTATTATTCATGGCAGCATATACACATGGGTTAGCTCCTCCCCTTACAGCCAATAGGACAGGATTAAGCAAATTCTTATATAAAAGGAGGATCCAGAGAAGAGACCCTCAGTCAGTAACAAGCACTTACAGAAAAAATAGACCCATAAGGGTGGGTTGTATATGCTGCCATGAATAATAGCCGGGAAAAGAAAATTACGGTAAGTATGAATAAATTTTCCACTTTCCTGGCTAATCATGGCAGCATATACACATGGGATTACCCAAGCTCATAGGGAGGGAAACAAGAGACATCATGAATGCAAAAAGAATATTTTATTAATGCCGATAAATATAAATATACAAACTACGAGTGTCGAGAGGAGCGGACTGAATTAAGGACTTGATGTCCAAAGTGAGAGTCCACTGAGGCTCTAACATCCAGCTTATAATGACGGATGAAAGTGTTCACCAAAGACCAAGTGCCAGCCTTACAAATCTCATCAGGAGAAGCATTTGCCACAGAAGCCCAAGATGCAGCGATAGCCCGAGTAGAATGAGCTCTGACGCCAGTAGGAACCGGTAGTGATAAGTATTTGTAAGAACATGAGATGGCCGATACCACCCACTGTCTCAATGTAGAGGTAGAGGCAGCTTCACCCCGCCTGTGGCCAAAAGGTAATACAAATAATCTGGGAGATCTACAGAAAGGGCTGGTCCTCTCTCGGTAGATAGATAATGCTCGAACCACGTCCAGAGTATGCCAAACTTCTTCTTCAGGAGAAGAGGGATTAGGATAGAAGGATGGTAGAACAATTTCCTGGTTCAAGTGGAACTTAGATATCACTTTAGGTAAAAATTCCGGGACTGGTCTGAGAACTAAGCTGTCCTGAAGAATCCTCGTGTAAGGTGATTCGCAGGACAATGCCTGGATTTCACATATCCTTCGTGCGGAAGTAACAGCTACCAATAAGAGTACCTTTTGAGTGAGTACCATCAAAGGAGCTTGGTCAAGTGGTTCAAAGGGAGCACTAGTCATGGCCTTCAAGACCAGAGGTAGGTCCCATGCCGGCAGAAATACCTTTAGAGGAGGCCGGATCTTAATTGCTGCTTTAAAGAAACGGATGACCAATGGTTCCAGTGCCCATCGGGTACCTGATAAAGCGGATAGAGCTGATACCTGGAGCTTTAGAGTATTATAGCTAAGGCCTTTATCTAGGCCAGCTTGAAGGAAACAGAGCACCGAAGATAATGCCAAAGGTTTAATCACCACCTGATGTTCTTGTGCCCAGCAAATAAAGGTATGCCAAATCCTATAATATGTGGATGAAGTGGCTATCTTACGAGACCGCAGGAGGGTTTTAATGACTGTGTCAGGCATACCAGCATTCATCAGAGCTTCCCGCTCAATCTCCAAGCCCACAACTTGAGGGTTAGGGGGTTTGGGTGTAGCAATGGTCCCTGGGATAGTAAATCTGTCTGGAACGGAAGTTCCCTCGGAGGTTCCCGACTCATCCGTTTCGCCATAGGGAACCAGGGCCGCCGGGGCCAGAATGGGAGGATGGCTATGACCTCTACCTTCTCCTTCTGAATCTTCTTCAGAGTCGGGTATATGAGAGGTATAGGAGGGAACACGTAGGCCAGAGTGAACCTCCAAGGTAGGGATAGAGCATCCTGCCCCTTGGCTCTGTGATCGAACAGTCTCGAGAAGAATGCTTCGACCTGGGTATTCTGGGCCGTTGCCATGAGGTCTATCTCTGGGGTTCCCCAGATCAAAGACAGTTCCTGAAAAACTTTGGGGCTTAGATGCCACTCGTTCTTGTCCATGGTCACGCGGCTTAGGTAATCCGCCATGGTATTCTGAATCCCCGGAAGGTGTACTGCAGAAATACCTTGAATATTTTTCTGGCACCAACTCATGATAGGACGTAGTTCCTTCATCAACAGTTGGCTGCGGGTACCGCCTTGATGAGATACATAGGCCACAGCTGCCTGGTTGTCGGACTGGACTCGTATCCACTTGTTCTTCAAGATCCCTCTGAAGTGTATGAGGGCTCTGTGGATGGCCCGTAATTCCAAAACATTCCCCGGAAGAACCGACTCCTGTCTGTTCCATCGACCCTGAGTCATTTGGTCCTGACAGTGGGCACCCCAACCATGTGCGCTGGAATCTGTCGTTAATAGGACCCAATTGGGTTCTATCAAAGGAAAAACCCTTTCCAAATTTACCCTTCTGAGCCACCAGACTAGGTCCATTTTCACAACAGGAGAGATCTTCAAGGGTTGATTCCAATCCATAACCTGCCGGTTGAACTGGTTCAGGAACGACCTCTGAGGAACTCTGAGATGCCACTGGGCCCACCTGACTAGTCCTATAGAAGAGGTCAGATTGCCCAGAAGTTGCGAGTATGTTCTTGCTGTTATTACCTGAAGGTGCAGAATCTTGTAGACAAAGATCCGAATCCTCCGAATTCTTTCTTGTGAAAGGGAAATAGAGTTCCGGAGTGTGTCGAAGTTTGCCCCCAGGAACGTAATCTTCTGTGATGGAATGAGGCTGCTCTTTTGTAGGTTCACCACCCAGCCGAATCGATGAAGTTCTGATAGCACAAATTCTCTGTGTAGAACCGCCATATGGACGTTTGGTGCTACCAACAAAAGGTCGTCCAGGTAATGGAACAGAGAGATCCCCTGAATCCTCAATCTCTCTATAAGCACGACCAACACCTTTGAAAAGGTCCTGGGTGCTGTGCTCAGGCCAAATGGAAGTGCTCGGAATTGGAAGTGGTCCCCTCCTATAGCAAATCGTAGAAAACGATGATGTTCCTTGGCTATCGGGATGTGATAATAGGCGTCCCGTAGGTCAATGGATATGAGCCAATCTGCCCTCCGGATAGATGGGGAGATGGATCTTATGGACTCCATCTTGAAGGATCTGATTAGAAGACTCCTGTTGATCCTTCGCAGGTCCAGGATAGGTCTCCACTTGTCCTTGTCTTTCTGGACCAAGAACAGAGGTGAATAATGACCATGGAATCGTTCCTCTTTTGGCACTGGAATGATGACCTTTTGGGACCTGAGGTTCTGAACATAATCTCCCAGAGCCCTGCTTCTGCCCTCGTCTTTGGGCATACCTGTGGAAATGAAGAAGTTGCCTCTGGGTCTCCTGAGGAATTCCAATCTGTAACCTCTTTGAATTATAGCTCTGACCCAGGCATCTTGTATGTCTCGTGCCCAAACCCTCCAGAAGAGGGAGAGTCGAGCACCGACCTCTGACGGATAGTCAGAAGTTCTTGCCTCCCCGAAAGGAAGGGTTTTTTACCTCGGGAGGAACGGGAAGCATATGATTGGCCCCCACGCCAATTACTACTCCTGTTAAACTCTCTACCTGGTCGGTAGCTACGGGTATCCCGAAAAAAGTGATCCCTCTGAGGTCGCTTATCTGACCAAGAGGAGCCAGGTTTCCTGGTTCTTTTCTCTTGGGGTAAAAAGACCTTACGCCCTTCAGCTGCTTTTTTAATGGATTCTTCTAGGGTCTTACCGAATAAAAGCTCTCCTTCAAAAGGTATGGAACATAGATTGGACTTGGAAAAGGAATCCGCACCCCAATAACGCAACCATAAAGCTCTCCTAGCTGCTACCGAGAGAGCCATGGTGCGGGAGAAGATCCTGGTGATATCCAGGGCAGCTTGAGTGACAAATTCTGTGGCTATCCGAAGGTCATAGATAGAATCCCTGAGGACTGTCCTCTTGATTCCCCTTTCTAAATCTGAATCAAGGTCTCTTATCCAACTCTTCATTGCTCTGGACACCGCCGTAAGACAAACAGCTGGGTGGCATCCAGTACCTCCCGCTGAATATATCTTGGAAAGATCGGAATCCAATTTCTTATCCATTGGCTCCCGCAGGGAGGCTGAAATATCCAATGGTAGACTAGTTCTCCTAGCAACTCTAGAGATGGTCGCATCCACTTTTGGAGGTGTTGTCCATTTCTTTGAAGTTTTCTCCTCCAAAGGGTAAAGCTTGGATAGTCTGCCCTGAAACGGAACCTTTTTATCAGGTTTTTCCCATTCTGCAGTCACCACCTCCTTAATGGCTTTATGAAGAGGGAATGAAGGCTTCTGCTTCTTAAGATCCGCAAAATGTTTATCCGAAACTTCAGGTTTAGGCAGATCCTCTGGTAGTTCAAGGGTGCTCCTTACCTTTAAGATGAGCTTATCCACTGTCTTGGCGTCTAGATATTCTGACAAGACCTCTTCTTCGTTCTCACTAGAATAAACCTGATCAAGAACCTGAAATTCTTCAACTGAATCCTGGTATTCTGAGCCAGATGAATCTGAGGATATCAGTCTCTGTCTTGGTCTTTTTACAGACCGCTTACTTGCCTCCATGGCTTCTGAAATGCCCTGAGCCACTTCCTGTCTGATCCAGGTCAGGATATCTGGTGACTGAGTGGGTGTTACGGCTGCTGGAGTGGTCACTTTCTGCAAACAGTCTAAGCACAGTTTTTTGCCTTCCAACGCCTTCCCATCACATCCTGCACAGGGGTCTGACTTCTGTCTCCTCTTTCGTGGGGGAGATGAGATAGACTGTTCTCCATTACTAAAAGTAATATAAGGAACTGTTAGTAAATGGAGAGTTAATACCCCTTTAACCTATAAATATATATATACACACACACAATATAAATGAAATATATATGGAATCCTACTCACCTGGATTCTCCTGAACAGGGTAAAGGATTCCTACTAGCAGAGCTCATAATGGGCTAACTACAATAAAGAATTTAAAAATAATTCAAAGTAATTCTCTTAGAATATACAAGTAAACTGTCACAATAAAGGGATAAAATTTTATCAGAAATACACAAACCTGTGGCAAAGAATAGAAAGATCCCAGAGTCTTAAATTCTCTTCTAGATAATCCAATGCAAGTTGTCTAATAACTGACTCCACAACAACCTCCTTCGAGTTCCAGGTACTTTTAAATAGTTTCTGCTCATTTACTAACCTGTTTCTGGCGTCTTCTGTCAATTACCTGTAATTTTCGGTTTTGCCCACAGTAAAGATGG